GGAGCAGAATTAGATCAATATTTTTTCTCTTGACAGTCCCTCTGGAGACAATCACTGAAGGATCTTGAACCTGAAAAAAACATCAGCACTCATAGGAAACTGTCTCAAGTTTGCCTCCTTTTGAAATGCATGGAGATGTTCAGAGAGTTTTGCTGCAGGCCACTGTCTGTATTTCCTTTTTTTGGTGTCTGATGCATTTGTTATGGAAGATACTTTCAGAAATGCAAGAGATCCTTTTTCACAGTCCTCGATGCTACAGTAACTTTGTTAAAAGGATTTGTGCAGATGACTGTGTAACATACGTTTATGATTTTTTTATTTCAAAATTGCTGTAGTTTGAGCATAAAGAACCTGTTCTTTCCCCCATGGACATTACTAGAGCTGTCACTGGCTTTAGGAAAAATAGAATCAAGCTGATAAGGAGTGTGTAAGTTAGAACAAAGAAAAATAAGGAAGCTTACATAATGAAATAAAAAGTAACCAGGCATATTCAAGTCACAAAAAATTCCTTCATCATCATCATAAAAAGATTCTATCTATGCACTCACCTAGACATTTTAGAGAGAACTAGTATCACCATGCAATCATGATTTACATTAGCTGAGAGGAAAGAAACTGAAAAAAAACCTGTCGGTAAGGTGCGATTCTTTGTACCGATTTAATTAATTTGAGGCAAACCTATCTTACCTCATTTTTGCTCACTTACGCTACTAAGGAGCCAGTTCAAGCTACTGTATACGAAGTGAAAGTCCACTCAGAAGCTTTTTGTAGCCTAATGGCAGTTTTTAAAGCACTTTAAATGAAGCAAAGGCCGCTTCTCAGTGTAAAGAGAATCTCGGCAGATTTCTAATCCTGTAGGTTATTAGGAGGAATCAGAACGGCAATAGGCAGTGTTACGCCAGGAGCTGATATTTTGGGAAGGTAGCTGTTCTCTCAATAGAGTAACCTTGCTGAGCCAACAGACTAGATTTTTCCTTTTAAACTGCTTTCACCGATGTCCCTTGTCAAGCTACAGTCAACAGCAGTATCGTCCACAATTTCTGCTAAATCAAAGTCTGCGAAATTAATAAAAGTTACACCATTTGATTTAATCTTTCTCTCCATCTCTTAATTCCTCTCTCCTATGCAGATCTCCTGAGAGGTCTTGCAAAAGAAACGTGTGCATGTTACGGGGGGAAGGAGGGGGTGTGTTAGAGTGGGAAGAACAGCAGAGAGGCAGCGAGAGTAAATTAAGTAAAAACCTTAGCACCACTGTACCAGCAAACCTTATTCTAGTAGCTGCCTGTCTGCTACAGGCTGAACTCTGTTGTCAGTCCAGTTCAGAGCAGAACCTCTCTGGAGAGCCTCCTTCAAGCCAGCGTCTGATTCAGGATTAGTATCCTTCCTGCCAGGTTTTGCACTCTTTTCCTGTGCCTTTCTGTGTTCCCCAAATAGTAAGATATGTGATCCGTTTACGTCACAATATTTTGTCTTTCTAAAACTGCGTATTAACCAATATTCCGCCCTCATTTCTGAGGGCACCAGCAACAGCTACAGAGCAATACAATTGTGGGACCATGCCATCCGGACTGCATATACATGCCATGTAGGGCAGTTTTGTGGTACCCCTTTCTAGTGCATACTGCTTGTACAAGCTGTTAATACCCAAGGCCAGAAAGGCAGGAACTGCAGCTGGGGATAACACCACCAGTCTGCTTCTGTAGAGTAATTTGAGGTCTACAAGTAAGGACTTGCTAATAAAGGCTGATGATTATTGGTACAAGAAGTCCTTCAAAAGGTTCTGAGAGGTACCGTCTATTCTCTTGCAAAAGTTTCCTTTTTGTGCAGCCTTAAGTCAGTCAATGTATTTCCCCAGCAAGTTTCACAAGCAGGAATAAAGGGTGGCAGGAACGCTTTAGCAGTGACCAAAAAGGAGCAGGGACACTCCATTCCATTCATACGCTGTTTTTAGGGGACTGCAAGGCTGCAGGGATAAAACTGGTACGTACTCATTGCAGTTCTTTCGAGTCTGCACACAGTTTATTATCATACCTCCTAACCCCCCGGCTGTCATCTACGCTTAGCCCGCAGCGTTGCGCAGATCACTCACCTGCCGTTCTTGGTCACGATCATCTCATTAGTGACTTCCCTGAACCTCTGCCAGAGCGTCGCATCCTCTAAGACAACCTGGAGCTGTTTCTCCGTGGGGTCGCCTTTGTCTCTCCCGGCCCGGAGTTCACTCTCCACGACACTGAGTAGCCTGGAGACGGTGCAGTCGCTGGGCTTTTTGCAGCCCAGGTCTGCCATGACGACTTTTCTGCCGGAAACTTCAGGTAGCTGTTAAAAGACAAAAACCATGAGCTAAAACAAAAACCGAGTCAGTTCATTGGGTGAAGCCTGACAAACGTGCTCTCCTTGCTCTTTTGCCACTGACTAGCTCTTTCCTCTGGAAGTCCCAACGGGCAGTGACACCGGCGTGTGGAGGTTTATGCACACCCTCCACACAAAAAGAGGACTATCTCCTAATTACCTGTCAGACGGTCAGGTGGGTGGCAGGCTGATGACTCAATTGGCTGCCTTGAAAGAAGAGTCCTCCATCCAAATTAGCATGCTTTTATCTTTTTTCAACCTGAAGTGGGTCTAATTGTTCTGCTTGAGAACCAGGTTTCCATTAATGAAAATTGTTTCATTTCCAGACTGAAACAATGCATGGAAATTGCGTTCACGCTGATGCGGACTCTAACTGAAGGAGCTGGTAACAGTCAAGATAGTTACACGGAGAAGGCAGTCTTAAAATATTTCCACCAGGCATGTTGAATAAACGCATTAACCTCGTTCCTCTACGTTCCTAAATCAAAATGTAATAGTAAGAGAGCCTTCTGCATGGAGGTTTCAATGCACAAGGAGCAAGTAGCATCCCTGTGCTCAACTCTTGATGCCTACTGTGTCCATTCCTTGGTCCACCATCATTCACAAAACCCCTGCTGCACCTTACAAGCACTGAACTCCCCTCTGGCTGCATTTCCAGGGATAGATCCCATGCTTCTGGGGCTGGGTGTGAGCCAAGCTGCCTGAGGCCTGGCGTTGGTGACCTGCTCAAGGCCCATAGAATCATAGTATCATAGAATGGTTTGGGTTGGAAGGGACCTCAAAGATCATCTAATTCCAACCCCCCTGCCATGGGTGGGGAAACCCTCCATTACACCAGGTTGCCCAAAGCCTCATCCAACCTGGCCTTGAATACTTCCAGGGATGGGGCATCCACAGGTTCTCTGGGCAACCTGTTCCAGTGCCTCACCACCCTCTGAGTGAAAAATTTCTTCCTTATATCCAATCGCTCATGACATACAAAAGCTCCCTCAGCATCCCTAAAATAGGCATTTCCTCTCACCTCAGGCTGAGACCTTCTCTGACAAGCTTAGTCTAACCACTGATACCTTCCACAAAGAAGCCACTATTTTACTGAGAAGTCCAACAATTTCAGCAATCAGTCAAGGCTATGAGTATCTGCTAAAGGGTTATGTGAAGGCCACGTAAATACCGGTGACCTGTAAACACTGGACTTTGGCATGTAACAAGGTATTTAAGTGCCTAATTTCTCCTGATGCATCTAGCTCCAATAGTGTCTTTGAAAATTCTGATCTGTTGGACATGACATAGTCAGGGACTTGATTATGAAAACATGCTGTTGGAAGTAATTTTTAGAGAAATGTATTTTCTGGCTACTTATTGAGAACTTGGCATTTGTTTAATTCTGTAGACCCTGCTGAATTCCTGTGCTTCTGGTTCTTTCTAAAAGATGAAATGACTTGGTGGGTCACTGAAGGGATTTATAAAGACAAGAAAGGGTCTGGCAAACTTGGTAAAACAGGATTTAAGTCATTTGACAAGGCTCAACAAATCTTGCAGTTCAAAAACCTGAGATACCATCTACCTAAGCGGTAAGGGCCAGAGCTTGTTGATCCTACTGGCATTGTACGGCACCTTATTTGGCAACCAGTCCTACCAATCCCTCCAGCCCTACATGGAGTAAGGTACTGGTTGCAAGTCCTCAAAACTGCACAGCTGCAGGTGTGCAGCAATGTAATGTTCTGAAGAACAGGAGGCTTCAGGAGAGAACTCTCAATTCCCAGCAATCTCAGCACCTTCGGAAGGTGCAAGCCAGACAGGTCAGAGGTATTTTTATATCTGGGTAATCCCAATCATGCTGCTTTCAAATGGCACACTTGAACACATCTTCCCTCTCTTCAGCCTTTATGTACCTCTTTTTTAATTGTCAACTCATAACAAAATTACCTAGATTACTCTATCAGTCAACTCGCTTTGTGACTTACACCAGAAGGCGTCAAATAGCAACTTCTAGTTAACATCCAGCCCACTTCCACTGCTGAACAACTGAAGAATGTGCTTTAAAATCTACAGGATATTTAGGTACTCGGAAGTGTGTTGCTTTGCGTTTGGAAAAATAGTTGCATCTCAGGTAGTATGTTTGTGTAACATGCAATATGTTTATGTTTGAATTCTCCTTTCCAAATGCTCAAAGAAGACAGGGAAGGTACTACTGTAATTTTTCCCTGCATGTGATCAAATGGCATAGCAAATGCATAGGAGATTATGTGAGGTAATATGAGTAAACTAAAAACTATAAATGTAAATAAGCACAGAAATCAGAGCTGGTTGAAGCACTGTGTATTTCAATTCAACAACTTCAGTTTTTCAGATAGCTCTAAAACAAATACATCTGTGATTTTTGGGGATTTTTTTTTCTTTTCAGTCAAAGCCCTATTTCCATACAGCTTTTTTTTAGAATTAGTTGCTCAGAAATCAGAAAATTCAAAGTTGAGGCAAGTGCAGAGACAATAGCTTACAGAAGTAGCAATATTTCAGTAGTTACACACTGTTCTTTCTATAGACAAATAAGAAGGGAAGCAGCTTGATTTTCGGAAGTACTGACTGCCCACCTCTCCCGCAGGGCTTTAAGTGGAGCAATACTAGATCAGAGCCTCCAAAAAATCAGATCCAATCTGCCTTCCTCAAGATGCTTAGAGCTTAAAAGAAATCAAAAGCATTCACAAAGTGACAACAGTTCACATTGGTGGAAGAGTTTCAAAATGAGGGAGAAGGGAAACGCTGTCTCACCAGCAGAGACGGGTGAATTGCCAGCAGTAAAGACTATGCGCAGCAAAGATGAATTAGAAATGGAGGCAGCCACAAAGCAAAGAAAGGGAGATCTGGCCCTGAGTGTGTTGCTTGCCCAAAGCACTCTGGGACAGAGCTGTGGAGGCGGAAGGGTATATGGAGGGAATGGATAAAGGACCCATTCCAGTAATGGGCTGGGAAGCAAGTTTTTCATCAATAAGTGGATTTTTTACAGCTAGTGTCCCTAAGGGAGAAGCACAAGGACATTTGCTTTGGAGTACCATTTTAAAATTTGCATCCCGCACAACAATAATGCGCACTTTCAGATACTAAAACTAAGTCACACTTGGGCGCTTCTGGTTATCACTCACGCAAGGTGCATGATGCTTGAAAGCCTTGTGTCCCAGAGGAGAAAACCCACACATCTAACTTCTTCAGATACCTGACTTTCATACGGCTTGAGTTTTAATTTTATAACTGTGTTGCCATAGCTCAGGATGCTTGCAACCACAACATTTTCCAAAATGAGAGTAGTTACCTGTGATTGGCCAGTGGGACAGCCCAAAAATTGCTGTTTTCAGCATGGGGAAGGGTGTTTCAGCTTTGAGAGTTCAGACTAAGAGCAATTGGTGCTCTATGTAACAACATATCCAGAAGGCACAGCTCCCCACTGACACGTCTTCCCTACTTAAAAGAATTAGCCAAAGAAATAGCAAGTTTGCATGCATGCGAGCAAATGATCAGCTGAATGCACTTGGACCTGAGATTTTACTTTAAAATACACATCCAGACCCACATGAATCTCATCCCCCACATAAGGCTCCCCCACACCAGGCGTTGTCTCTGCTTCACACAGCTGCCATGGCAGAGGGCTGCAGAAGAGAAACCAAACAAATAGATTCATAGTCAAAGTTATTTGCTTATTGCTGGCTTTTCATTTAAAAAAATATTAAGGGTGGAAATCTTTACTTTGCTTATTTAGCCTGTTTTAGGAGAAAAGATATCCTCTAATGTCCCTCTGTTCACCTAAATAACAACTTTGAATGACTTCCTGAACATCCCTCCTACCTTCTTGCGAGATGAATTCTTCCAAGTCTACAGATGCTGAAACTGAGGCACAAACGGATTAATTAAGAATCATAGAATTGTCTGGTTGGAAGAGACCTTCAAGATCATCGAGTCCAACTGTTCACCCTGCACTGTCAGGGTCCCTAAACCATGTTCCTCAACACCAAATCCACACGGTTTTTAAACACCTCCAGGGATGGGGACTCCACCACCTCCCTGGGCAGCCTGTTCCAATACTTCACAACCCTCTCTGTAAAGAACTTTTTCCTGATATCTAACCTAAATTTCCCTGGCGCAACTTGAGGCCATTCCCTCTCGTCCTGTCATTCATAATGTGGGAGAAGAGACCGACCCCCATCTCCCTACAACTTCCTTTCAGGTAATTGTAGAGAGCGATAAGGTCCCCCCTGAGCCTCCTCTTCTCCAGACTAAACAGTCCCAGCTCCCTCAGCCGTTCCTCATAGGACAAGTTCTCTAAACCCTTCACTAGTTTTGTTGCTCTTCTACGGTTATTTCTTGGCTGGAAGGTACGTCTCCCTGAACCTGACATTTGAAGAAAAGGTAGCCGCACTCGCAGAGTAACACAGTAACAGGACGACTGACAATCATTGCCACCGCAAGTGGGACAGAGCAGGGCCAAAGGACAGAAGACCATTACCCCTCTTGCACTTGTCTCTTGTTCAATTAAACAAGCAAATCAGCAGGGCAGCGGAGGAAGCAGGAAACGTTCATACAAAACCTACAATGTTGTAAGCTTTCCCTGAAACCCAGCTGGGAGAGCTGGGCGCTTCCAACCAGGGATCAGACACCTCGTGGCTCACAGGCAGTCGGAACTAACCCCGACTAGTTAAAAATGCAAGCACAATGCTCAAACATCTCCAGCCGTGTCCAGGATTTACTAATACTAGAATTTCGTGACTCCTATTTTTAAACGAAGCAATGAGGACTGGGGAGAGCAGTGGAAGAACAATCCTGCAACACTTACTGGAGTTTATTCACCAAGTTCCAGCAGGAAAAAGCAAGGTGTTATTTTTGACTTTCTAATTAAACTGGTTCTAAAACTCTCCTGGCCACCAGCTGGTGAGGTACAGTGGAAAGACAAAAAAAAAAACACACAAAAAAAGAAAAACGGTAATTCAAGAGGCCTTCCTTGCCTTGACATTGGATAGCTGTTTTTTGGCCTTTAGGTGCACATTTCCAAATAAAAGGCAGCCCTTCGTGAACAGATGAAATCACAGGGAATGAGACTCCCTCTTTCCATCTCCACAG